ATTTTCCGATTAAAAGAGGTTTTAATTTTAATGAACCAAAAGAATTGTTGCAAATCATGATTGTGACTCTCTCTTTGCTTTTTTTGTAACCTGGTGCAGTTCCTTCATTTTTAGCAGCTAGTGTTTTCGATGGAAGCATTTTAAAGTTAAGGCCTGTCTCATCACAGTTAAATATTTGGTCTGAAGTTAGTCCATCTTGTTATTTTAAATAAAATGTTCCAATTTCAGTTGAGTCAGCAGAAAGTTTTTCGCCACAAATATTCAATTGTCGGATGCCATATTTCTTTTTTCATAAGTCAATCCATCCTTCACTAGCACAAAAGTTTTCTCCTCCATCCATAAACTTCTTCTGGAATTCGATAGCTTTTGCTTGGAGTATTGGACCACTTATGGGACTGCCCAATCCTCTCGTTTGCGAAAATCACAAGAACAATGCCTCAGAAGTTTGTTCATAGTCCCCTTTATTCATAGTCTTCCGGGCCAATCCACTACCACCACTCACACTTCGGTTAACCCACTGTTCGATTTTATTTCGCTTACGCTTCCAATCTCCAACAGTTACTTCTCCGACACCTAAATCTGAAGCAACCTTCTTTATTGATTCACCCTTGTCCAACCTCTTAATTGCATTCACTTTTGTTTCTAAAGATACAACTACTCTCTTCCGCTTTTCACTCATATTGCACAGAAAGATGCTTTCTTACACTCACAAAAATCAACTTATGAAAAATTAATTATGAAACTTAAACTTATAAACTCGAATAAATACACAAAACAGTACATAAAAGCAAAAATTTAACCGTAGAGTAATTTGACTTAATTTGACGATCTGAACGGCAGCAAACAAATAATTTGACTATCTGAACGACAACAAACAAATCGGTAGTTTAATTCACACTGATTAACATAGAAAATAACAGGAAGTTTTAGACAAAACACGCAAACACGCAAACACGCAAAACAAAAGACGCACTGAATCCAGTCTTCGCGTGTAGTGGTCTTTTCATAATCTTCGCCGCAGCTATGTTGCTCCTTCTTCATCGCCGCTGGAATAATCGTCGTAAATAATAGATTCGTCCCTATGGTCTTAGTCATAGGAAGAACCTATTTTGGGTTTGGTTTTAGCGCGTGGTTTCTTAATTTTACGTTTCGACACTGTAGTAGTTTTCTTCCTTTTACGATTAGTTTCAAATATGTTTATATCAATATTGGCGCTATCGGTTAATATAGTTGCAACTTACTTACTTTTCTTTCTGACAGAAACAACGCTGGTTAATGCAGGTGCAGTCGAAATGATATCTAGTAACTTTCCAGGAGTCTCTTTCTGTGAATTTTCCTTTTCTGTGATGACTGTTTCTGCGGGCGGAGGAGTAATATCTCTGGAACACTTTGGTTTGTTTATGTCAACTGAAGGATTGGGAATGTGCTCCGGAACTCTTTCGGAATTTGCTTGTGAATTGTTATTAGTACTGCTTGTACTCAAATAAGCGTTTTCTGGAATTACGGATGAAGCAAATGGGACAATACCAGTAGCTTTAGATGATGAAAAGCATTTTGAACTGTTGCTGATTTTTCCCAAGCTGTGGCGAAGTGTCGACCAAATTGAAGTCTTCTTATTCTTCGTCCTGGGTTTCCTCTTAAATATAAATTACACGACTGTTAATAGAAAGCTTTTAGCGATTTAAAAAATGCCCTCATCAAGAGGCTGTAAAAACTGAATAGTAACACCATTCCTATAGGTTTTCTTGGGACAAATTGTTTCTGAAAAAATGTTCCTTGGTAACATACGCTGATTTTTCACTCAATTCCGGTACAAACTGAGATAAAAGCAAGCCACCAAACTAGGATTTCCCTCTGTCCGAACTGAGATAAAATGTCCCTTCGGTACCTTTTAAGCGGAATATTGCGGGTAATTTTGACCCTGTGTGGTCAAAATATAACGGAAATTTTATGAACACAGCATAAAATGATTTCTTAAGAAATATTTAGAAAAAATAAAGGAAACTATTGAATATTAAACAAAATTTAGTAAAATTAAGGAAATTGAGACAAAATGTGACGTATCGACTTTTCGACACGTTCCACATCGGCAACAATGGTTTAAGATATCTGCTGAATATTATTTTAAAAGTCTGCTCTGTCGACACCGGACCGTAATTTTAAAGAAATTCTTTTATAAGATTATCAAACCTAGGAACGACTTTGAAAATAGTACAATCGTCACGCCCACTTGATGCGGAATAAAATTACCGGAAAGTATCCTAGTAAGAGAAGTAAGCTTGAGTGCTTGAGCTGTAGCCTGTCCTGTAAGTACATTGTACATTAATTTAAAAATAAGGTAGACGAGTCCCGGCGATAGGTTATTATAGTATATATCTTATTCAGTGAAATTACCTGGACCGGACTTAGAAATTAGCTCATTTTTTAAAAAATCTTATAAACAAATTAAATTTTGTAAAAACTATTAAACCGATGTGGCCTATCTATTGCACTCAATTCAAACGCGATAATACTCTTAAGTTCAGGTACATTTAAACAAAGGTTAATACATAATAAAAAAGTTATTATTCAAAAATAGCGCTTTTCTTGTTCATTTTGCAATAACTTTTTTGTTTATCATCTGATTTTTATTTAGAATATCTTATTTACTTACTTTCTTACTTTCCCACTTCAAATGTGTAAATAGGCAAGTTATGCTCAGATGCAAAAAAACGCAACGGAGAAAATTTTGGTCAAATTCAAAGTATTTCGGTTTTTTTTTATTTTTAGCCCTATTTTGATGATTTTTTAGCACACTGTGTAAACATTTATAATTTTAATTTAGTATAGTGAGTTTTTTAATAAAAAATTTTATTCGACTTATTATACGGGGTTAATCGAAAGGTGGTTTTTTATCTTAACTTTGAAACATCCTGTGGAATAATTCCGTTAGCGGATTTTCCTAAAACCTTGTTTTTCGGTTGCAACCATGTCTTCTAAGTATTATGTTTTTTGTTTCATGTGAAAATATGGATTGGTTCATTTTTAGGAGCGAAATGACTTTTGATATCGAAGGCATGTCATATCGACATGCCAGAAGCACTGTATTTAAATATTGATTAAAAGCAACGATATGATCTTGGTTTTAATGAATAATGATAATAACAAAACATAAAACAAACAACTTAAATGTAACTTAAGCCAAGTACGCAAATAACAAAGAACAACTACTAAAAAATAACTTAATATTTTTTATTGCCTCTCCTAGCCTCTATAACTGCCTGTATACGTCAGCTTATGCTATCTATGAGGTTGCGATTGCCATTCCTCTTCTAGAGCCTAGCGAACTTGGTTAATTGAGGCTGGTTCGACTTCGTGATCTCTAATATTTCTACCAAGTATATCCCAAACGTGCTCTATTGGGTTCAAATGTGGCGAACACGCTGGCCAGTTCATTTTATTAATACCAACTTAATCTAAATATTGCGTGACACACATTGCAGTTCTCTCCCATCTGATGAGTCGAGACAGAAGCTCGACTCATCCGTAAAAAGAATATTACTCCATTGTTCTAAATTCCAATATAAATGTTCCCTGGAAAATTGTAGCCTAGCCACTCTGTGCCATGAAAGTATTTTGAGCCTTGTTGCTGGTCTACAACTTTGCAAACCAAATTCATGTAATCTTCGACGAACTGTAAATACACTTACATTATTGCATCGAACCCCTTGAAGCTGATTTCTTGTTTGTACCCCTGTTAAATAACGATCCCGCAAAGCGTTGAGTCGTATAAAATAATCATCTAAAGCGGTAGTTTTGCGATTCCTGCCACTTCCCGCTTTGCGCTTGTTTGTTCCAGTTCAAATAAAACGTTTCACTACCCTTTGGATGGTAGAGCGATGAGTACCCTAGCCACATATTCATAGTTTCGCCCATCTTCAACCAGAGCAACGGCTTTCGCACAATCTTCAACACTAAGAACCATGATCAATCATAGGTAAACAAAATGTAAGTGTCAATATGACATAATGATAACAGTCACCAGAGCCATCTCGTCGTATTACAAAATAACTCCAAAATAATCATAATTAAAAAAGTCCTAAATTGTGGGTGGCAAATTCATTTGGCTCTAAAAAATTAACCAAGGCATATTTTGATATGAAACAAAAAACACAATGCTTAGAAGACATGGTTGCAACCGAAAAATAAGGTTTTACGAAAATTCGCAAATTTAAACTGACTACACCAAATTAAAATTTATAAATTTATACAACGTGTGCTAAAAAAATCATCAAAATAGGGCTAAAAATAAAAAATTTAAATACTTTGAATTTGACCAAAATTTTGTCCGTTGCGTTTTTTTGCATATGATTGTATGAGCAAAATAATGACACCCTGACGTGCGTCGCCCCGCCTCCCTACTTTTTATTCAATTTTCTATTGGCCAGGAGGTCCGAAAATCTCATATAAATATTAAATCGTCTTTAAATATGAGATTATTCGGATCTCATGGCAGTCGACGCCTAGCTTTGCTACGGCCCCCACGTAGGGTATCCTACGCTTGGGAGGCCTCCTTCACGGGGCTCCGCTCCTTCCTTGTCCTTAGACTCTTTTGCTAGGACCTTTGTCTACGACTAAATTGTGTTTTATTTATCTTCCCATCTAATTAAGATGAAAACGCATAGGCAGCTTCGGATTGACTAACCGAAGCCCTCTGTAGAGCACCTAGAGAGCTGATATGGAGTCATTTCATATGAAGACCCTACTCTCCCTATGGTGACACCTAGATGAGCGCCTTTTTGTAATATCTCATATTAAACAGTTTAACTGTCAAACCCGTCTATACAGTTGTGTCGACTAAAAATTTAACTAAATTCGCCTATCAGTGTAAAGAGCCGGATCTTCGATCCGCATCTCTCGTAAACGACCCATAACTAATGGCGGAATTATTAAGGGTTAATTATAAAAACAATTATAATTATTATTAAGGTCAAAAGTATTAATAAGTATGTTGTTTTCAGAAAAAGAAGAGGTGCAATAAATGCCAAACAACTAGCATTTCTGGAAAAATACCGTCCCAAATCCAGACTAAAATCCAAGAATGGCCACAAGAACTCTTGCTGCGTTCAGTAAATAATATATCTCTTAATATGTGTTCAAATAGCGACAGGGCACTTACTAAAATAATTATTTCGGTCTCATGAGAGTTAAATATACGTAATGCTTATTTTAAAATATACATAATCATAATTGAGCTGAAACAAGTTGTTCACAAATTAGAAGCTTAACCTGTCTGGATCCACTTAATTTATAAATTATATATGATTTTTTAGCTTTTGTTTAGCTGGAAATTATTTGTTCCAATATATTCTTATTATGAAAATTCTCAACATTAATTTTTACTAACATTCCCATAACACATCTTATGTAGTTGGCTTATTCTGCTTCGTAGTTTGGAATAATAATTGTATTGTCTACATATCTCACATTGCAGATCTTTCTTCTTTTAGTGTTATTACTTCAGTAAATCGGAAATTTAATCAGTTCTGTATTCACTTTCATATCATTAGATCAAAGGGTTTGCTATAATTACTCGTAGTAAAGCACAATCTGTTTCCTAGTTTCACATCCCGTTTGCGTAGAAGCTGTATTGTAGTAAACTACTTTCAGTACAGTGTGTCTACGAGCGTAATAAGGTTAAAATATGTGAAAGTCAGTCGCAATATAAAATGTCTTATATATCAAGTAAATATATTTTAAAAGAGAAACACGCGGCAAGGTAAATATACGTAGATATTGTACAGGAAACTTATTTTACTGCTATATACGCTATCAAATTTGTACTTTGTATCAAACTTTCAACTGAATTTTCTCATATTTCGTTACCACAAAAATAAAATTAATATATACCCACCGGTTTATTTTAATAAAACGTATACCAGATCAGGATAAGCGCCTTTGGTGTGAACGGTAGAAAGTCTTCATTTATTTAATATCGTAAAAACATTGTGTTCTTGTGTTTGAGCTTTTGATTAAACATTGTGATTTTTGCGTTCAATTTATTAATAGCTAAAAGTTAGTGGCTTCCTTCTATTGTCCAGCTGTCTGCAAATTATGTACTTACCGAAACAACTCAACAAATTTCATCATTTTCATATTTTATAGGATTTAGACAGTTTTCCTAACTTTTAGCTAATGATAAATAATATTTAGCATATTTTAGTTTAGTAGCTAAATTTTTCTTATTAAAAAAAATAAATGTATTAATCAATGTTGAGAAAATGTAACGTGTATTCAACTACTACTTACTGCTTAATTCATCAACTACACATCCCACAAAAATGATCGAATCTCAGCATTTATGATCTTACTAGTAGGATATATATATATATATATATATATATATATATATATATATATATATATATATATATATATATATATATATATACACGGATCACTCAGACGATTGGTGGGTTCTTATATCGGTCTCAAGGTGGAGAAATAAAAGACAAAGTTGATAGGCTACTTTATCTATTTTGAAGACGTATATCTAAATATACCTATATATTTAGGCCTAAGCCTAAGCAACCCAATACAATGTATTTTTTACTTATTTTGATCAAATTCCTTTACAATTCTTAACTTTAGGTTTAAATCAAACAAATTGTTCTTTTTGATATTTCGAAATATACATTTCTATTCACAAATCTAAAGTGGTACAAATCCACATCTGTGATAATCATGGTCTTTTGACTGTGCTCAAAATGTCTTAGAGTATATTTTTAGTCTCAAACTTTCGTTATATATAATAGCTACACTGATTGTTGAAAGATTTCCCTAAAGTTATACAGATTTTAATTTGTTCTATAGCTTCATTTCTTCAAATCTTCACAACAAATATGTTAACTGTAATTGTATGAACGGATGACTTTGACATTGAGCATCTTTTGCGGCATAAATGCAAGAAGTTCGATAATTTTTGTATTGTGTTTATTTTAAAATTGTTATTTATTTCACCTTTCTTATAAAATTATTTAGTGATTGAATTTGACAAGTATACAACTATATCATATTTAGTTTTGATTCGTTTACCGTGTTTTTAAAGCAGCTTTTGTTTATCTGTATTCGTTACAAAAAATCTCTGGATTTAGTACTAAAGAATACTAAACCACGCTTGGTTTATTTTTGAATTAGTATTGTTTGGTACTAAATTCCGTTTTGATAGTTCACATAATACTGCTACTAAAATTGTAAATTATATTTTATAAGTACATTACAGTCATTGATCACATTAACATTCACTTTTTTATTGTAGATTTCTGGACAAATATATTTTATTATTATCAGTATTCTGTGTTTTATTTTCTACCCTCCAAGTAACGGGTTCTTAGCCTTTACACAAAGATTAGTTATGTTGAAATCAACAAATATTTTATCTGCAGATATCTAACAAAGTCTCTGTTTTTTATGTTCGATTTATGCTTATTTATTCTAACACTTAGTGGTCTTGAAGTTTCTCCCACATAAATATTGTTGCAATCTTTGGTAGTTTTTCTTTCAATGCCAGGAGAAAGTTCAAGAACTATTCATAATTGGATCATACACAAAACTACTAAAGGACCCAACCAAATCATTCTTCTTTAAGTTCCATCTTCTATCGAAGGTTGGAAATCATCATGGCTATGCGGACTCTGTTGACTACCGCTCTAAAAAGTTCTGCACTACTGAATTCAAACCATTCCGTTAAGTTCTTAAGCCAGGATATTCCTTGTCTTCCCACATTTCGCTTTCCTCGGATTTTGCCTTGCATAATAAGTTGTAATAATGCGTATGTTTACACTCTCATCATATGTCCTAAGTACTTTCGATAGGTAATATTATTTCCGCCTCATTTCCTATCCTTCTAGTTAGTTCCACGTTTGACATTCTTTGAGTCCATGATATTCGTAGGATTCTTCTGTAACACCAAAATTCAAAGGCGGCCAACTTATTCAGATGGACTTGTTTTAATGTCCACGCTTCCAAGCCATAAAGAACAGTAGAGAACACGTAACAACGAAGTATTCTCGGGCGAAGTTCTAATCTTAACCAAATCATTGGAGAACAAAATTACAGAATATTATCTCAATTTAAGGAGTACCTTTTCGATCCCTTTTCTTTATAAATTGAGACTAGCCTCAAAAATGAAAGATATACAAGGAATAACAAATCAAGAACAATATGAAAACCAAAATACATCTAGCAGCAGAAGAAGTCACTGGAAGGGAAAGTAATCAAATAAATTATAAAAATAATTGGTGGATAACAAAGATAGAAAATCAAATAAAAGAAAAGTAGAAAGCTCATCAAAAGTGGCTGACCAGAAGAGATCAAGAATACAGAGAGAATAGAGAAACAGAGTTATAAAACAAATAAGAATTAAATAACAGAAAAATCAATTTTGACAAAGAAGTGTAAAGATATAGATAACTTAATGGGAAGCTCAAAAGCAAGTAAGGGTTGGAAAACGTCGAGGAACGTCAGACAGAATACCCATAAAAGGGTATTCCCATATTCCATACCCATAAAGGGTATTTCCATCAAAGATAGAACCATTACAAATAGATGAATGGGTAAAATATTACTCGAGAGTTATTACAGAAAAGAGATATCAATTACTCTCCCAACTTACGAAATAGACAGACAAACACGTTGCAGATATATCTGAAAACAAAATAAGAAATGCGCCAAAAAGGATGGAAAATAACAGAGTAACTGGCCCTGGAGACATACCTTTCAGAACTGCTTATACACACTACTTCGGCCTTAATCATCATTATCAATTAGCTAATCACCATTAATTGTAAAGAAGAATCAATCAAATTTACCATGCAAACGAAAAACAATACTTACTACCATTTTTGGATGTGGTGATTGTGTAAAAATATAAAAGAATACGAGATAAATACAACATCACAATATTTAAAACGACCAAATCACTGAAATCTATTCATTCCAATTTTCTTCTCGGAGATATTTCAAGACGACTAAGTGTTAGGATAAATCAGCATGAATCATATATTAAAAACAGGCTATGACAGATCCCAGATATGCAAACATGCCTGGACAATAAGCTCAGAAGCCAATGGAAAAATGCATCAATAGTCATGAACAAAACAGACAGCAAAACGAGGAAAATCAAAAACCTCATCTTACTTAATGAAGAAAAATGTGTACCAAACACATCAATATAATGTAACAGGCTCTCGTTACCAATGCTGAAAGAAGAAGTCAGCAATAAGAATATCCAAACTAATTAAGAGCAAGTTAGAGACACATTATTTATAATTAACTACATACGCACAAAAAGATCAGAATTTGGCACCAGTCTGAAGGTGCAAGACCTCTAAGAATTTCACCCAAGACATGGCTGATCTATACGATCTAGACCAAGTAAGTCTTCTTCTTTTTATGAAGACATGAGTATCTGTTTTTCAATGTGCCTCCAGTAAGTTATCGTTTCATCGTTTTGGTGGTCTTCCAATTGGGGAACCGTCTTATTTGTTTTCATTCGGTTTAAATGATCGTTCCATTCTACTCTTCTTATCCTTACCATGTGCTTGATGTGCTCCAGCTTGCATCTGTATTATATCTGTACTTCTAGCTCTGCCCCATAATGTTTTACCATCAATTTTTCTAAGCGTTTTTATCTCTGCTGTTTCTGACATCCTTCTTGTTCTTTCTGTGTCAGGTCGTGTTTCTGCCTCGTATGTCATTATTGATTTGATGACTGTTTTGTAAATTCTGCCTTTCATTTCTTTCCCGATATTTTTATTTCTCAAATTTTTTTATTCATGCAACCTGCGGCTCTGTTTGCTTTATTCACTTGATTTTCCACTTCTGTTTTGAGCTGTTCGTAGCTCGATAATGTGATGCCTTATGGATATTTAAAATCCATCACTTGTTCTATTATCTGACCTTCCAGCTACAATTTACATCTTAGTAAATTTGCTGTTATAACCATGCATTTTTTCTTTTTTGAGGAAATTAACATGTTAAATTTTCTGGCGGTTATACTAAATTGGTGCAGCATACGTTGTTACTAATGTTCACAGGGAAACTCCCTGTCTTATCCTATTGCCAGCATCAATAGGATCAGTTAGTTCTTCTACTTTTACTTTTATTGTGTTTTTTGCTTATTTTCGATCATTGTGATTATTCCTAGAGGTATCTCTCTTGCGTACAATAAGTGGATAACGTACTTTAACTTGTCCGGTCAAATATCTTCTTAAGGTCCACGAAATATAAATATACCGGTTTGTTGTATTCTAATGATTTCTCTTGAACTTGCCTTATTATAAATTAGCGTCGGTGCATGATTTTTCCGACCTAAAATCTTGTTGTTCTTCTGCTAGTATTATAATTTCATTCAGTTTATTTGTTATTACTTTGTTTATTAATTTTATTGTTAATAAATTAATTCTTCTGTAATTTTCTGGGTCCGATTTGCTTCCCTTTTTGAAGAGAGGTGTATTAGGATGTTTGATCTCCATTCTTGGGAATTTCTGTTTTGTTCTATTATTTTTTTTTTGTTTGTTTTAATAGTTGTTTGGTTAGATCTGGCCCACCATACTTTAGAAGTTCATTCATTATCGTCACCTGTATCAAATAGGGATCGAAAGTAGTTTTTTACTTGTTTCCTTGTGAATGTGTTTTGTTTTTATTAGTTCGTTCACCCCTTTTCTTTGTCCTCTGTGTTACTTTGCTTTGCTAGTGTTCCTTTTTTATTTGTCTAACTAAAGTATTCGTTTCATTTGTGATTCGTTTATAGAGGTTGTATGGCTGTTGTGTTTGTTGTATTCTGTATTATAAAAAGGCTTTATTCCTTTCTCCACGTCCCCTCTAAACTGTGGGGTTTTCTTTTTTGGTATGTTTGTGTTCGTTACTTTCCTCTCCAAGTGATTCTGTTGCTGCGTTACTTATGTTATTTTTGAGTTTTTTTAGCTTTCCTCGATGTTATCGTTTTCTAATATTTTTAATATTGTTCTGAAGCTACATATTTTCTTGTGGCATTTTAAAGTAATTTACTATTTAAATGGAAATAAGCCACAATTAATGTTGAAGTACGTTTATTGATGTTTCAATTTCTACTTCGGAAATCGTTCTCAAAATACAAACATTAATAAATTAAATGAAATAAGGTTGAATGCTCGAATAAATGAACTTTGAAAATAAGGCTATTATCGAGCACAAGTTAATTAAATCTAGCCCAAGTACTTTCGCTTAAAATTTATCCCTCCCATTATCCCTCCAGATACTGACAGAGAATGTAGCGTAGAATATTTAAGTAATTTTAAACTGTTTGTCCTCGTTTTAGTGTAGTGTTTTGTACAATTTTATGTTATTTTTAATGTTTCCA